GAGCTTCATCCCAAGGGACGTGTCTAGGAAGTTCCCAGAAGGAAGGAAGCCAGGAAGCCCAGCTCCCAGCCGGGACAGAACAGGTCATACCTACTGGGTCAGGAATCAGAGAGGATGGAGTGTTGTCCCTAGTTCTGCTGGTCCCACACTATGGCTGGCACCCCAGGAGACCCTGAAACCCCACCCAGCCCACTGGCACAGCCACCCCCCCACCCTGCTGCGGCGACAGGGAGTGGCAGCAGTGATGCCTCTGGCCACCTGGCCCTAGGCTTGCTCAGCCAGGGCTATGCGTGCTCTCTGCTCTCAGAGCTCAACGCCTTGTGGTCTAGGGACATGCAGGAAGGTGGAAACGCCTAAAGAAAAGCAAGAGCGTGACTGGCACACGCGTGAGGCACAGCAGGTACAGTGGGGTGTGGCCCCACGTGGGAGGAGGCCAAGGCACGAAGAATCCATGATGGTCACAGGCTCTCACTGCCGGGCGTTAAGCCACAGATGTCTTACACACTCCTTCTGGGATACATTGCACAATTAAAAAGAAAAGTCATAAGAATTAAGGAAATTAAGTGGAACCACATCAGAGAAAAATAGGGAAGATAGAAAGGGGGTGGTCAAGATCCTGTGTTTTTAGAAGTATGACTTTTGTTAACGGACACAGCAGTGGTAATCACCACACATCAGTGCTTCTCACAGGAGCAGACAATAGTCCATGTCTGGAGACAGTCTTCTGGAGACAGTTTGGGTTGTCACAATTGAGGGGACAGAGACACCAGTGCATCTGGGGGGGTGGAGGCCATCGGGGTGCCCAGGATGTGCCCAGGATGACCCCAGCTCAGATGCTAGTGGTGCCCAGGCTGAGAAGCCTGTTAGTACAAGAAACGGAATGTACTGGGGTGCCTGGATCAGGTCATGATCCCGGGGTCATGGGATCAAGCCCTGAGGGGGGCTCTCTGCTCAGTGGGAGGAGTCTGCTTCTCCCTCTGCCTCTGCCCCTGCCCCTCCCCTCCACCCCTGCTCCTGTTCGTTCTCTCTCAAATCAACAAATAAAATCTTAAAAAAAAAAAGAAAACCCAGTAACAAGTCAAACTTTTTTTTTTAAGATTTTATTTATTTATTCATGAGAGACAGAGAAAGAGGCAGAGACATAGGCAGAGGGAGAAGCAGGCTCCCTGGGGGGAGCCTGATGTGGGACTCGATCCCCGGACCTGGGATCACCCCCTGAGCCGAAGGCAGTTGCTCAACCACCCAGGCGTCCCACAAGTCAAACTTTCAACTCAAGAGAAGTGAGCAAAGGAAAAAAACAGTGGGAAGAAAAGATATAACAGACCAAGATGGAACCCAAGATGTACCCACACACCTCCAGATGACTCTCGTCTGGGTCCCTGGACCTCCACCTGGTCAAGTCCCAGGCCTCATGACCTCGCTCTCTTCCTGTCACTGCCTGGTCACCACCCAGCCCCTGGATGCCCTACTGCTCCCCTGTCGGAACAGTGAAGACCTACAAGGCTGGCGGCTGGCTGTTGGTGAGGGCAGGCACTGAATTACGTTCTCTCAAACGTCTATGTTGAGGTCCTAACCCCTAGGACTTCAGGATATGACTGTATTTGGATACTGGGTCTTTAAAGAGGTGATTATGTTAAAATGAGGTCATTAAGATGGGCCCTGATTCAACCGGACTGGCGTCCTTATATGAGAAAATTTTCTTTTTTCATTGTAAGAAAATTTAGACACAGATGTGCTGTGAAGATAGCCATCTGGCCAGCAGCAAGCCGAGAGGCCTGAACAGACCCTCATGACCTTGGAAGGAATCAAACCTGCTGACGCCTTGATTTTGGACCTCTGGTCTTCAGAAGTTTAAGAGAATAAATCTGTTTCAAGCGGGTCCAGGGCACTTAGTTATGGCGGCCGCAGGAAACTCCAGTGAGAGGATGTGGTATAAATGCTACCGTCGGGCACCTGGTGGCTCAGTCGGCTAAGTGGCCAACCTTGGTTTCAGCACAGGTCATGGTCTCAGGATCCTGCTATGTGGCTCCACTCAGCGGGGAGTCCACTAAGAATCCTCCCTCTCCCTTCCTCCTGCACACATTATCTCTCAAATAAATGAATAAATCTCTTTTTAAAGAGCATGCTACCATCTGCTTGCAGGATTATCTGGCATTTCTATTTATTTCTGGATAGATTCCCCCCAAAGATGACCCTGTCACGAGGACTCAGGACCCATGGTTTACCTGGGAGGTCACCCCAGGGAGACTCCTTGGGGCCAGAGACATGAAACAGGGAGGGAGGAGGTGTTGATGAACAGGTGACAAAGTGGGGCACCTAGGCTTGGTCCTGTTGGGGACCTCGGGGGACAGTGTGGATCTCACTTGAGTGACCCACCCACTGGGGAGGGACTGTCTACAATCATTGGCTGAGAGGGCTGCTCCTGGGCTGTCAGGTCATGCTCTGGTGGGGAAGCCCCCAGACCGGGCTGCAGTGGCTTCCAGCCAAAAGCAGTTGGTGGCAACCATGAATGCTGGACTTAGGGAGGGGCACTGGCTGCATCAGTTAACATAACCCTTGATCTTTACTTAGCAATTTTGTCCCTGGAAACCCAGACACACTAGTACATGAGTGCAAAGAGGTACATACGATGTTTGTTTCAGAGAGTGTCAGGAAGCTCAACCCTAACTGTCTTCAGTAAACAGGATAAAGCCGCTCCTATTGCCAGAAGTTGAGAGCTTCAGGCAAAGCTGGATCCAGCAGCCCAATGTCACCATTATCCAACTCCTTTCTTCATCTCTGCTCCATTTTCGGCAGTGTCCGCTTCACCCTGGGATTGCATCCTATCTTGTAATCACAAGATAGTCCCAATAATTGTCTGCACTGATGTTCCTTCTCTTGGGGCCAGTGGGAGAGGGAGGGTGCTTCCAGAAGTTCTCCCTGGAAATGGTTAATAAACATCTCTTCTGTCATGGGCCCAGATGGGGTCACCTGCCTACCTCTATATTTTAGGGGATGCCAAGTGGTTGGAAGGAAATGGGGAGTTGACCCCTTCCTCCCAGGCTCAGGGGCTGGGATGTGAGGTGGGAATGACCAGAAATCAGTAGGATGTGAGAGGCAAGCTCAGCAGGCTCCAGGGGCCACTACCAAGCTCTCATGACAATAGAGCACTAACAACCCCGATGGCCATCAATAAAGGATTGGTAGACGGCATCACAGGCCACCACCCCAGGGAAACACCAAACTGTGGCTTAACAGTAAGACAAACTGTATGTAATAGGGACCACTGTGTACGAAATCGGGTTGAGGGGCATCTGGGGGGCTCAGTTGGCAAAGCGGCTGCCTTCAGCTCAGGTCATGATCTCAGGGTACAGGGATCGAGCCCCATGTCAGTGGGGAGTCTGCTTCTCCCTCTCCCTCTTGCTCCCCTTGCTTGTGCTGTTTCTCTCTTAAATAAATAAAATCTTAAAAAACAAAATAAAACAAAATGAAACCTGGTTCAATGAAAGCATCAGAGTGGCTTGGGGCCAGCAAGGCAGAATATACTTGAACCACTCACCTCCCCAGTGTGCACACACAGGCACACATGCTCCCCCAGTCGCCCCTCCCCCCGGCATGTGGAGGCTCCCACTTCCCACCTCTGGTTGGGTGAGCACACCCCAGGTTGGTCCAGGAAATGGTCTGCCGCAGAAGCAAGTCTCTCTCTCTCTTTTTATTTTTTTATTTTAAAAAAAATTTTTTTTTATTTATTTATGACAGTCAGAGAGAGAGAGAGAGAGAGAGAGAGAGAGAGAGAGAGAGAGGCAGAGACACAGGAGGAGGGAGAAGCAGGCTCCATGCACCGAGAGCCCGATGTGGGACTCGATCCCGGGTCTCCAGGATCGCGCCCTGGGCCAAAGGTAGGCGCCAAACCCCTGCGCCACCCAGGGATACCTCTCTCTCTCTTTTTAAAGATTTTATTTTTATATTCATGAGAGACAGAGAGAGAGACAGAGAGAGAGAGAGAGAGAGAGAGAGATAAAAAGGCAGAGACACAGGTAGAGGGAGAAGCAGGCTCCCTGCAGGGAGCCCGACGTGGGACTCGATCCTGGGACCCCAGGATCACGCCCTGGGCCGAACGTGGCGCTAAACCCCTGGGCCACCTGGGCTGTCCTGAAGCAAGTCTCAATGGCCACTGTGAGACGTCTGGTGGCCTTGTCCTCAGGCCCCTGAAGACAGCCATGCTCGCTGCTAAAGCCTCAGCTGAGGAGCGGAGCCCCCAGCACATGACAGACAGGCAGGGCACGGGAAAGAAACAGGACTTGAAGGCCATGTCGCTGCAGCAGGATGCAACCCGTTCTGACTGATGACGTGGGTCACCATGTATGTACTCAAAAGGGACAAGTGTTTATGCCCAGGATGTCTCCCCAAGGACACATGAAAAACTGGGAACAGAAGACACCTTGGTGGAGGGAACTGGAAGGCTGACCTACTTCTCACCATAACCCTTTTGTACAGTTTGAGTTTTCTAGAAGACCACAGTATGTATTAATAATTCAAACAATAAATACATTAAAAAGGTTTATTCAAGGGGTGCCTGGCTAGCTTAGTTGGTAGAGCACATGACTCTTTTACTTTTTTTTTTTTTTTTTTTTTTTTTTTTTAGAGGGAGAGGTGGGAGGGGCAGAGAGCAAACCCCAAGCAGTTTCCATGCCCTGCACAGGGCCTGACTCGGATTGGATCCTATGACCTTGAGATCATGACCTGAGCCGAAATCAAGAGCCAGGTGCTTAACCCACTGAGCCTCCCAGGTGCCCTGAGTGTGCAACTCTTGATCTCAAGGTCTTGGGTTTAAGCCCCACATTGGGTGTGGAGCCTACTTAAAAAAAAAAAAAAAAAAAAAAAAAAAAAAAAAAAACCGGTTTATTTAATATGTTTAAAATCTCAAAATAACCTCAACCCTGACCCTGTTTTTGGTTTGCAGTGGGTAGGGCTTGGGGGTGAGAGCTGAAGAAGAGAAGGACGTGGTCAGAAAAAAAAAAGTCATTTTAATTTTTATTAAATATACTCTCTTGGCACAAATCTTTAAAATATATAAACATTATATATAAACAAAGTGTCTTCATGGCATCAAAATGTAACTCCAAATCAGGGTGGACACCAGTGGGAGGGGTGTGGCCGCAGCGGGCACAAACCCAGCTGTGTGCGGGGCTGGGGGTGGGAGGAGCCCCGAGGCCCACCCGGCTGACAGCCACCGTCGGGGGGCACACGGGGGGCCGGCAGGACCTGGGGCCCTCCCCTCGGTGACCCAGCCTGCGGCTCAGAGGGGGTGCCACCCAACCATTCATCTGGTTTCACTTGCCTGGGGTGGGCCCCCAGGTCCCCACACCGTCTCTCTGTGAGGGGTCCCTGCCTCTCCTGCCTCTTCTGGGCAAGGCAGGGAGAGGAGGTGGGAAGCCCACCCAACAGAACAGCCGTGGGACCCAGGGGATGAGACTCAGGCTGGCAGGTGGACACATGCAAGGAAGGACAGAGAGAAGGGTCTACACACCTGCAGGTCCAGGTCAAGAACACAAATGAGACAGAACACAAGGGAGAGATGAAAGTCACAACTGGAAATGTGCGTGGTGCAAACACGCCACGTGGCTGCAGAGCTATCTGGTCACCCTCTGGTTACTCCACCTGGGAACCGGATTGCGCCGGTCAGGGTTTATGGTGACTAGACCCAGCACCAGCCGGATTGAAAAGCAAAACCAAAAGAAATCAAGAAACTCCAAATATCATTTGGAAACGGGTGTTTCTGCGTCCCTGTGACACCTGGCAGACCCCAGGGCCTCCACCCCCCCGGGCTTCCTACCCTCAGGCCACACGCTGTTCAGGGGCTCCTATGTGGGGAAGACAAAGGCTGCCAGTTGCCTCCATGCATTCTGTTCACAGAAATCAGATAACCCCATGCACCAGAAACCGCCCCATGTCCTGGCCAAGCGCCCACTCAGGTGGGGAGCCAGGGACATGCCAAACGCCACAGGTCCCCCCCCCAGGAGCCACTGTGCCCAGGGTCCGAGGATTGGGGCCTGAGGCCTCACCTCTGTTGGTGTGGCCTGGGGGACAGGGGTAGAAGCTTCCTGGCCCAGAGGAGGTGACCTGGGTCCCCAATTTTCAGCAGATGCCTCCAGATTAGGACTCAGACGCAAACCCATGGCAATTGCTCAAACCCTGCTGCCTGGAGGAGGTGCGACCCTCCCGGGAACATTACAAACCAGGTGAGCAGGCAACAGAGGGGAGAACCCACTCCTAGGGTCCTACTTTGGCCACAGAGTCCAGGATCCAAATAATACTCTTGGGAGAAGGCTGTTCCCGAGCAGGAGGCTCTGGTGACAGAGGAGTCATGTCACCTGGGAAGTAATGGCAAAGGCAGGACAGGTTGGGGGGAGGATGGGAAGGGGGACTAAAGGCTGTATGTATCACCCCAGCTGAGCTGGCTGGGCTCGGAAGGCCAGGCATCTGTGTACACTCTGGGGCTCCCTCCCATCTGTGAGCACAGGGGCAGACAGAGAGTCTGGCTCTGCGCCCTGTGGCATGCGGTCACTAGAATCAGGAGCATGTCCCAGGTCACAGAGCGCCGAGAGGTGGCACTGGTCACTCCCAGCTCAGGGCATTGAGGACAATGCCTCCAGAAGACAGGGCCAGCCCTGGGGAGGAGGGATGGGGAGAGCGTGAGAGCCCCTGCCCACCAGTCCCAACATTGCACTTCCAGGGTTGCTGGCTTTTGGGACCGAGGCCAGGCCCCCCAGCTTGTTCTACAAGGTGCTCCGACGTGGCTCCCAGGGTGGAACCAAGCGCACCCTCGCTCCACAGGCTCAGAGACAAAAGGGGTCAGTGGTCCACTGCACGCTGAAGCTTGGCTCCCTGTCTCGAGAGCAGCTGGCCTGCAGGATCCCTAGCTCTGCAGGTGCCGCAGCAGGATCTGCATGAGGTCAAAGGTGGTGAAGCTGATGCCCACAGCGATGGGGCCCTTGAGCCAGTTCATGCTCAGACCCTTGTAGAGGCCACGCACGGCGCCCTCCTCTCGCACGATGGCACGCAGCGTGTGCATGATGGAGGCGTGTGGGTGACCCGTGACCCCAGCTGTCTGCATGCGCCGCCGCACCACGTCCAGCGGGTACGAGGCTGACTGCCCGATGAGGCCGGCACACGCCCCAAATATCATGCGCTCAAAGGGGTAGGGCTGTGGGCGGCCGCTGTACTCTGTGGGCGAGGGACAGAGGGACCGTGTAAGGGTGTTGCCAGGGGGCACGCACCCAGCTGTCACTGCACCCCATGCCTGGCGCTCACACAGGCTCATGCTCCGTCACTGCGGTGGCGCAGGACCCCCTGGCTCCCCTGGGCCTTCCCGCCCCGGCCTCCTCACCTCCTGGCCACTCCTTTTAAATCAAATTTAAAAAGTTTTGAAAAAGGCAGAAATGTGCCATCATTTAATCAAGTCCCACCATGCAGAATGAGCTCACATCTAATCACTCTTGTTTTCCTGTCAAGCAAAGAAGGAAACCAATACAGTGTCTGCCACTCTCCACTCCACAGCCTGTTCTGTGGGCACCCTCTGCAGGGATGCAGGGGCTGGTGAGGCGAGCAGGTGCCAGGACAGGACATAAGTGGGATGGAGGAGGAGGCAGCAAACAGCGGGGTTCTTAAAAACGTGTGGTTGTAAATTTAACACTAGGAATTCAAACCAGTGAGACAGCGCGGTTCGCCCAGCACACTGGGCAGACTCGAAGGACTCCGCCAGCACCCAAGGTGGGTAAGGACATGGGGACAGGGCTGGGGGGCAAGCAGAGCTGCTGGAAAGAGCAGCAGCCAGAGCAAATCCCAAAACCAGGGGCTCACACTCAACACGCTGTGCAGTGCTCAGGGGTGTCTCCTGATCACTAAAAACTTGGAAGCACCCAACGGCCCCCAGCAGGGCAGGCCCACCTCACTGCTGAAAGGATGATGGGACAGAGGCTCGGATATGGCAGGGTGGACTCAGGGGCGCCTGGGGCTCAGAGGCGCTAATCGGAAGTGCAGGAGGTAGCTCCACCGTGGCTATTGCTTCTAACCAGGAAACAGGACCACGTATTGTTCCTGGTATGTGTACACGTACACACACACACATATGTAGAAATATTTCCAACTGCCTGGGGGACGCAGTTTTTATAAGGAGCCCTCAGGAGGGAGGGGGCTGAGGGCGGGGAACAAGGGAACCTCAGTTTCACCTGGTACATTTGCTTTCTTTCACAAATATCGTCTTGGAACACTGTTGACACCTGTTCGGCCCAGGGTAGCAGGTTCAGGAGTGGTATACTTGCCTCTGCACTTTTCGGAACTTTTGGAATTTCTCAAAATTACAACACCAGAAGGCACTTCCCCTTATATCTAGGTTGTACCCGATGCTTTGGGCCCCAGCAGCAGCCACTGCTCTTGGTGGCACTTCACAAAACTGGTCTGACAACTAACTTGGCCTAGCTGCCTCCATGGTGGCCTGTGCCTGTCTTGTTCTGATTCGGACCTCAGCCGGGAGCCCGTCCCTCCTAGGGCAGGGGCCTCAGTGTCCAGCCTCTGAGTCTGTGTGAGCCCAGGGAGGTGTAGCATGTGCCCCCCCTCACCCCCGGCTTCTTACCTCTGTGCAGGCTCTTGAGTGTCTCATAGGTGAAGAAGCTGAGCCCCGCGTAGGGAATGACCCCCAGCACGGTAGGCGTGAACCCATGGTAGAGGGTCTTCAGGCCCTCTTCTCGGGAGATGCGGATGAAAACGTGAAAGATGTTGCTGTACCTGCAGGACAGAGGGACAGAGTGGGTGGGTTATGGGCATGAAGAGGAGCTGCTGGCCTCGACTAATGTCAGCAACCCCGGAGTGGGGTGGGCCAGGATCTGGATGCCATGCTTGCTTTCTTTAAGGAACACAACCACCTTGCAATGCTTTGGTGCTGGAGGGGGAAATGCGTGCTTCAGGCCATATCCCACCTTCACTGTCCTAATCACTGCTGGGAGTAGCCCTTGTCTTGTAACTTATCTGTGCTAATTCAAAATGAAGACTTTTGGGGGCCACCTGGGGGCTGCAGTCAGTTAAGCATCTGACTCTTGTTTCAGCTCTGGTCAAGATCTCAGGGTCGTGGGATCCAGCCCCACATTGGGCTCCATGCTTGGCACAGAGTCTGCTTGAGATTCTCTCTCCCTCTCTCTCTGTACTCCCCCGCCCCCACTCTCTCTCTTTCAAAATAGATGAATAAATCTTTTTAAAAAAATGAAGACTTTTGGTTTGCTATAAGTAGAGGCTGACCCCTAGGGTAAGAGAAACAATTGCTGCCTTTCTGGAGCAGCTGCAGAACGGCATGCCCGGCCTGGGAACTCACATTTCCTTTGGGGTCACGGCCATCCTCGCTCTGACTAGGTCCAGGGGGTAGGTCAGAGAAGCAGCTGTCGTCCCAGCCAGTGCACCTGCAAGGAGGCGGGGCCAGGGGGGCAGGGCTCTGAAAGAGAAGGAGGAGAGAAAGTGAGACCCCCCCAAGCTGGAGGTGCCCACAGGTCTCGGCCAGCAGGGAGAACCCAGGAACAGGCAGGGGTTGGCTTCCCCGGGGCCAAGCGACTGAGTCTCTTGGGTGGAGGTCATTCTGAGGTTTCCACGGTTGCCCTTCCTTCCCATCTGCTTGTGTGGACTCATGAAGTGTTCCTTCCCTTCAGACACGGGGGCACAGTTGGGATCACAAGCCTTGCTGAGATTCGGGATCTCAGGGAAGACAGGGCAAACGACAGGGCTGCTGCCATGGTGGTCGTGCGGAAGGCAGGAGGGCAGGACGATGGGACAGAGCTGAGAGGGTTTTGGGGGGCAGTTGGGGGGCAGGCACTCACTCCCCGCGGAAGCCATAGTAGCGGCCCAGGATGCGCTTGTACTCCTCATGGGCGCTGAACTGGATGGCGGCGTAGGGCACCACGCGCACCATAGTGGCCGAGTTCCCGCGCCACAGGCTGAAGAAGCCCTCGTTGAGGTAGGTGAAGTAGAGGAGCCGGAAGGCCTCCTGCGGGAGACGGGCATGGTTAGCACCCTTGCCTGCCCTGCTCCACCCCCCGCCCAGCTCAACACCTCTTTTGTCCAGCACTGTGACTGGGGGCTGCCTTATCCCCCCACATTCTCTGGGTCCTGCATAGGGACCCCTCTGTCTCTACTCCCCTGACCTTAGGAGTAGGAATAGTAAAGCGAGCCAGGGCAAACCAGGTTTGCAGGTGAGAGCCCCACACAGAAGATGTTTGGTTTGTCTAGTAGTCTAGATTTTAATTATATTCTTTCTCTTTTCCCAAGAAGGTAATGCCTGCTCTCCATTTAAAAACGAATCAGAGGGGATCCCTGGGTGGCGCAGCAGTTTGGCGCCTGCCTTTGGCCCAGGGTGCGATCCTGGAGACCCGGGATCGAGTCCCACGTCGGGCTCCTGGTGCATGGAGCCTGCTTCTCCCTCTGCCTGTGTCTCTGCCTCTCTCTCTCTCTCTCTCTGTGACTATCATAAATAAAAAAATAAAATAAAATAAAATAAAAATGAATCAGATATGGGGTACCTGGGTGGCTCGGTTGGTTTAGCGTCTGCCTTGGGCTCAGGTCATGATCTCGGGGTCCTGGGATGGAGTCCCACGTCAGGCTCCCTGCTCAGTGGGGAGTCTGCTTCTCCCTCTCCCTCTGCCCTCCCCATCCCCTTGTGCATTCTCTCTCTCAAATAAATTAATAAAATATTTTAAAAAATGAATCAAATGTGAAATCATAGGTTTAGAACTTTAAGTCCTCTTCCCACTGTCCCAAGCATGAGGGTCTCCTGTTAGCTGCCAGAGTGGGCTACATCCAGGCAGAGCTTGGGGTGCCAGGACAGGCAGCCCCTGCCCAAAGGCCTGGTGGGGGAGGCCCCGGTCACCCGGCAGCCTGGAAATTGGCTTGTGGGAGAACCAAAGGGAAAAAACACTCTGAAAAGCATCTCCCTCCACCCCTGAGCCATGTGCCACGGCCACCTCCCGCCAGCCCAGCAGAGCAGACGGTGAAGGCCCCAGAGCCAGGAGTTGGTGACCTAGTGACTCACCTTGGCAGAAAATCTTTTTGAAGACACTGGAAAAAAAAACAAAAACACAACAGAGACCATTAGGAATAAAGGACGACCTCAGCCTGTGGGACCCCCAATATGGGGGTCAGGTCTGAGCACTGGGAGAGAGAACAGCCAGTGAGGACGCTCTCCCACCAGGGGCTGATGTGCTGGGTCATCCCAGGCAGGGTGGCCCTCCTCCAGGGAACCTCCTCACCTGCTGCGTTTGCCCCCACCCCGGGCCCTGGCCCTACCTGTGTGTCAGCTTATCCCCAGGAAGGGGAGCTGAGCTGCCACCTTGTTCCCCAGGAAAGCAAGGATCTCTGCAGAGGCCTGGGGAACTCAGCACCCTTCAACCCAACTGGACTCCAATTCAACCAAACTCCTTTGGGGGGAGCCTTCTAGCCACTAGTTGTGCAGAGCAACCAAGGGGCCTGGCCTTCTCAGAACAAGGCCTAGGCATGTTCTCTGCCTAGAGGTGCCGGTGTGGCACCCCTGAGCACCTTCTCCCACCCCTGATGGCTGCCACCTTGCTCCCCGATGTGACAGTGCACTCTGCTGATGAGGGCCTGAGCCACTGTGGTCACAAGGGGTGCTGGTCTTATAAACTCCCTCTCCTCATGTCTCCAGTGTCTGCTGTGTTGCCAGGACACCCCCGCACTCCTATCCGTGCGGCCGTGTGTTCACACCTATACCTTCAGAACTAAACCCAGCTCCCTGCAGGGCACTACACTGCATTCACTCCAGGTAACAACACTACCGACGCACAGGGAGGTGCATGCTCAGCTGCACGCCCTTTCCCATGCAAGCTCACTTCTTCGGGACGTTGATATTAATGTCCTGTTTTATGGATGAGGAAACTGAGGCATAGAGAGGCTAAGAGACCAGCTCATGCAAGCGGGGAGAGCCTGGCTTGAATCTGCAGCCCCTTCCTCCCAAACAGTTGAGGGGCAGGGGTCCCAGCTTGTGACTGTGCTATTTCAGGCACTGGTCACTGTCTCTGGGACAGAAAGGCCTCATCTTCAGGGGACTGACTCTGTGGCTGCTTAACCCAAGGATGGAGGGTAATGGTCTTTTTTTTTTTTTTTGGTAATGGTCTTTTGAATCGGGCCTCCCCAAAAGATATGTCCATGTCCTCAAGTCCTGACAAGTGAATGTGACTTTATTTGGAAAAACAGTCTTTCAGATATAATTAAATTAAGGTCATCCTGGGGTGGAGTGGGCTCTAAATCCAATAACAAGTGTCCTTGTAAAAGGAGAGGACACAGATGCAGAGGGGAAAGCAGAGTCTGGGGTGTTGCGACCACAAGGCAAGGATGCTTGGAGCCCGGGGAGATGGGCAAGGCGAGGAGGGCTCCTTTCCTGGAGTCTGCAAAAGAGACCAACCTGGATGGTACCTTGATTTCAGACTTCTGGCCTCTGGAATGTAAGCTCCTTGGTTTGTGCTTCTTTGTGATGGTTGCTCTAGGAGGCTAACAGTTTTTAAGTGGATTTTAAAGAGGCATTTTTAGGGTTATCTGGGGGGCTCAGTTGGTTAAGCGTCTCTGTGGATCAGGCCATGATTCCAGAGTCCTGGGATCAAGTCCCACATTGGGCTCCCTGCTCAGTGCTCAGTACGGAGTCTTCTTCTCCCTCTCCCTCTGTTCCTCCCCACGTTTGTGCTCTCTCTCTCTCTCTCTCTCTTGCTCACTCTCTCTCTCAAATAAATAAAATCTTAAAAAAAAAGACATTTTTAAAGCCAATCTGCAGTGCAGTTCGTGGGGCTATGGAGGAGGGTGACTGTCTGGATGCATCTCTATCATACAGGACAGATGAACAGAATGCATTTACCTTGGAAGATGATTTTGGTTCGGTCCAGGGGAGCTACCGCTGTTTTGGCAAGAGCACCAGCCAGGGCCCCAGACAGGAGGGAGCTGAGAACTTGCCTGTGATCACTCTGCAAGAAAACACATGAATACAGTCTGCTGTAAGAGAGAGGTCAGCTCTGCTAGGGACCTCACCCAGGAGCAGCATCTCCCTTCTGTCCCTGGTCGAAGGTTGTAAAAGGCACAGCTGTCCAAGTGTCATAGCCTTGGTGGGTCTTGGGCATAGTGGGACACAGGGCAGGCTGTCATGAGTCCACCAGCCACACAGCCTGGGCAGGACATGGTGAAAACCTTCCGGGTGACAGAGAACATCCACATGAGAGGTGACCCACTGGCTAGGCTGTCCCATGAGTTTCCAACTTCTCAGAGACAGCCTATAATAAATAGGACTGATCCCAAACAGAAGAGTCACACACCCCACCCTAGCTTGGCCAAGTGCAGATTCTGGCTGCATCCACCACCTGTGTGTGCTGGACCCCTACACTGCAGTGGTCAGAACAAAGGCACCAGGGCCCTTGTGGTCTGGGGATCAGATAGTGGTGTTAGGCAAGCAGACCCTGACTATGTCAGTGTGACCCCTTTCCACAACTTCCCATCAGGATGGCAGTAGCCAACATCTGTGGTTCTTTATCCAGCCAAGACAAGGGTGACAGTGGCAGCCTGCAGCAGGAGGCCAGTCTCAGAGCCAGCACTTTCCCCAGTCTTCTCAAGGCTCCCTGTGAGGAGTCACAAGAAGTCACCTGCTCATCAGTTTGGAGTCTCCATTCCCCCAGCTGACTCGGCCACGGAACTCTCACCAAGCAGTCACGGGGAGCACTGGGGACTGGAGGCACTCCCATCTTTCCTGGCTCCGCAGTGAGGAAGGGTGGTGAAGGGCAGGTCACTCAGTGATCCCAGGAATCCCTGGAGTCCTATAGGAACCAGGTGCCCTAAGGGGCCTTAGGACACACTTGTGTGGGGGTGGGGATGCATACAATGCCCCACTCTGCCACAGTCCACGGGGAGAGCCAGACATGAACTAAAGCTTTAGACAAATGTGGAGGGGCGCCTGGGTGGCTCAGTTGGTTAAGCATCCAACTCTTAATTTCAGCTCAGGTCATAATCTCGGGGTGCTGATATCGAGCCCTGTGTCAGGCTCCAAGTTCAGGGCAGTCTGCTTGTCCCTCTTCCTCTGATCCTCCTCTTGCTCGAGCTCTCTATCTTTCAAATAAATAAAAATATGTAGAGTCACCAATCCAGGGTGGCTGTAAGGAGGGGGCTTAGGGTCCTGGGAGAGTGTGGTTAGGGGGTGAGTGGCTGAGGTTGAAGGATGAGGTGCAGCTAATCAGGATGTGCGTGTGTGTGTGTGTGTGTGTGTGTGTGTGTGTGAGAGAGAGAGAGAGAGAGAGAGAGAGAGAGAGAGAGAGAGAGAGAGAGATCGTATTAGAGAGGGAGGAATGAAAGACTCAGGGGCCCTGGTGAGAAGCAGGGGGTCCCAGGGGACCACAAGAAAGGCAGGGTGGTTGACACAGGGAAAGGGAAGGGGCACAGGGAGGAGAGAAGAGATGAAAGGAAGGTGGGGGCTGGGCTCCATGGAGCCTGGGGGCCCAGTGAGCAGGCTGATGTTTACCCAAAGAGACATAGAGATGCACAGAAGGTAGGCATGCCATTTTAACTGTAACCAGAGAAGAGGCAGTGCTTGCAGAAGCTCAGGGTGGAGAGATGGGGGCGAGGACCAGGGGAGGGGTAAGGGGCATTCAGGAGTACAATTGGCAGCCTGGGTCTGAGTGGGCATGGTGGGGTCCAGGGCCACCCCAGGTCTGCTCAGGTCAGCAGGTAGATGAGGGGTGCAGGGCTGGATTCTGAGTCTGTCCGCACAACCTGGCCTGAATCTGGGCTCTGTCCTGATTGCCTGCAATGACCAATGGCCTCTCTGATCCCACTTTCCTCGCCTCTGATACACTGACTTGCTGTCTCCCAGCTGGGTCTGGGTGCTCCCCAGGGCCATGATGTCCTGCCATCAGGCCCTGTCCCTGGAGGGCCTTGGCTCCTTTCCCTTAACAGTCCCAGTACCTCCTCCAGTAGCCCAACCCTCCCCTCCCTGGAGAAACAATTGCCCACGGCAGTGTTTTCCCTTCTATGTTTCAGAGGTGGAGCTTCACCGTGGGGTTCCATCTTCTCCTTGCTTCACAGAAGCCTGTCATTGGGGGACCCCCTGCTTTTTCTGGATCATACAGCAAGGCTCTGGAGGTCTGGCTCCATGCCCTCTGTGAGGTGTGGACGTCAGACGCCAGAAGGTTCAGTGGTGTTTCTGGCACCAGCTCCAAGGCCCAACTGGCTTCCAATCTCCCCTGTGAATCCATGTGATGAGTGTTCACCTAGTGGGCCATTGTGAGCAGAGGGAGGTACTTCATGGACAGTCCATGTGCCCTGCTGGTACCAGAGGCAGAGCCGATGTGTCCCTTCCACGGCCTTTACTAGGCAGCTTCCTGGGTAGCCTATGATCACAAAGTTACGTCGGCACGTCCAGCACTTGCATCCCTAAACCCTAACTCAGGATGTGGCGCTCAAGGGATGTGCCGCGAGCCCAGCTCCTGTGCTTGGTGATGAGGCTGCCACTGCCTTTGGCCAAAGCTCCCAGTGACTCTTAAGTGACCAGGGCCAGTTGCTCTTTGAAGAGCTCAGCTCAGGCGTCATGGAACTGCCAGTTTCCATACCTGTCATATGGGGAGAGGCTGCAAATGAAGAATGAGCCAGACAGCCTAGTAGAGAGAAAGCAGGCCATCCATAGACAGGAGCCACATGGGCTGTGAACCCCACAAGAAGATGCTCTCAGTTCCTTTAACAAAGAAAGGTGACTTGACAAAGTAAGTTCCCCACATGAGGCTGGCCAAGTGAGCCAAGACTTATGGTGGTGCTGGCCAGCTCGGAGGAAAACTAGCACTGTGTGCGTCCCAGAGCACGACAGCTGCCAGGCCTTTTGCTGGGCACCTCCACCTGGTGGGATTCAGTCAGCCAGCCACATCACCCTCCTGCCCTGCTGGCAAGTTCACTATGCCCTGAGGGATAGATTTGTCCGCCCTGGGGTTTGGCCTTGCTCCCCTGTATGCTGACCCTACAAACCGGTCCTCCTATCCACCTGGGGCTTCCCAGGGTAACCTAGAATTTGAGGAAAGGTTGATGCCGCTTCAGCCTTTGACCCTGTGGACTTTGAGAATGGCCCATGGGCATTAGAACTGGGTTTCTGTGTGGGGCTGGGTCAGTCTGTGATTCAGGTTCAGCCAGAAGAACTCTTTTGGCTTCTTTGGTGAGTAAGGACAGGGTTGATCCCATTTCTTTAAAAGGGACTATACCTTTTCGTCAAGCAAAGGGTGGAATCAGAGATGAACTTCAGAGAAGAAATTGGAAGCTGACAGCACACCCTGCGTGCGAGCGCCCTCCCCCACAGCTGGCCCTGCCTGTGACTAATTCTCTCGTGCTCACAAATCCCAGCAAGGAAAGGAGTTCAAGGACACCTTTTGACATCCTAGCCAAATCTGGGTGAGGTTCTGGCTTCTTACCAAGTGGCTGGGCAGGGTGGATCCATGTCACAAATGGGACGTTAAATGGAATAGAACGTGCCCCCACCCCAACCTCTGCCCACGGTGCGTGCGTGCGTGTGTGTGTGTGTGTGTGTGTGTGTGTGGTGTGGGGTGGTGATTTGCCATGGGGTACAGCAACACAGAAGGGGGAACCTCAGGAAAATGCCCATTGGGGAGGCAGGGTACTTGCCTTGGAATTGACGGGTGAGGGCAGGATGGCCTCGGCATCCTCACGCACGCGCACCGTACTCTCCTTCACACCATTACCCATACCAGGCCAGCTCTGGGCGGCAGGAGACTTGGTCCTAGGAGGGGGAGGCACGGTGAGACCTGGTGAGAGGAGGGCCTCCCCCACCCGCCTCCGGCCTGTGACTCATCCGTGAGTCACCTGAAGCCAGAACTGCCCTAGCAGGGTGCTCTTCCCAGCCTGGCTTCTGTCTCCCTGCAGGGAAAGGACGTGGGCACCTGCATCCGAATGCCAGTCCCCAGCACAGATTGCTTAATCATTGACAAAAGCCCTTCTCATTGGCTCTTTGATTTGATCATCACAAACAGGACTCTGAGTTGTCTTTTTTTTTTTTTTTTTAAACCTAGTATCACCCTGGCAGACGGGCTCAGAGAAGTTAAGCCACCCCTGCAAGGTCACATAGTAGGAGGCAGAGGTGTGGTCAGCTGTGGGCTGTGGAGGCCTGAGGTCCCCACCTGCCTGGACCCATGCACCCAATGGGCTTTTGTCAGCTTGGACTTGAGATCTATCTACAGAAACAGAAAATTAACCTTTTCCCTACTGCAAGTTTGTCTGACATTTCTGGCCAAGCTTACAGTAAAGGGCCCTAATACTTGAGGATTAAGTATTCCTTAGGATTGAGGATTGAATCCCCGAGGATTCCTCCCTGAAAACCTACATTTAACCTCTAGGTAGAAGTACATGCAAAGCTCAGTAAACCTCAGCAAACCACAGTGAGGGAAATAGAAAAAGGGATGAAGGACTAGTGTCACCAAGATGCCAACTGTGCACTGGTGCTGCTGGGGGGTCGCAGTTCCTGTGCTTTAAAATTATCCAATAAATCAATGTACTTTCCCATGAGTAGGCTGTGAAGTCCCTCCCGCCCTCCAGGTCCTCCCAGATACCTCATTCTGCTGGGACAGAATGTCCTAGAAGGCACAAACAAGATTCCCCTCCACTTGTCTTCTGTTGCTGTTTCCTACCTAAATTGTGCCCTGGCTCCAGGAAGAATGACTGCTTCTAAGATGGGGCAGGAAACATAAACAAGCTGAGAGCACCCTAGGTGCCAATCAAACCAATGGGAGTGTGACAATGGGAGAGGGAGGTAAATCAAAGAGCTCCCAGGGGCCAAAGCTGGAACACTCTGAGCAACAAGTATGAGATTATAACCCAAGGTATAAAATAACTATCCACAAGTCCACAGTTAGAAATAAAATGATTAGAGGACACCTGGTGGCTCAGCGGTTGAGCAGCTGCCTGCAGCTCAGGGTGTGATCCCAGGATCGGGATCAAGTACCGCATCGGGCTCCCTGCATGGATCCTGCTTCTCCCTCTGCCTATGTCTCTCTCTCTCTCCCTCTATGTCTCCCATGAATTAAAAAAAGAAAGAAAGAATGAAAGAAAGAAAGAAAATGATTAGGAACACCTGGCTGGCTCAGTCGGTGGCAAGTGTGACTCTTGATCTCAGGGTTGCAGGTTTGATCCCCATGCTGGGTGTGGAGATTACTTAAAAATAAAGTCTTAAAAAATGAAGAAATGATTTGAATACATAAATAAATGGGAAGAGACAATCTCCCAGAAGAATTCCAGATACTTTATGTAGCTGCTTTGCTTTTGAGGAAGGAGTAAGTGTGATTCCCTTCCCTTGGGTGTGGGTTGCACATGGTAACTTCCTTCCAAGGAGTCCAGCACAGAAAGGGGAAAGGTAACTTCACAGTGGAGACACTTGACAGATGCCACCTCAGCCAGATGATCAAGGTCAATATCACATGAAGAATCACTCTGGGGATCCCTGGGTGGCGCAGTGGTTTGGCGCCTGCCTTTGGCCCAGGGCACGATCCTGGAGACCCGGGATCGAATCCCACGTCGGGCTCCCGGTGCATGGAGCCTGCTTCTCCCTCTGCCTGTGTCTCTGCCTCTCTCTCTCTCTCTCTCTCTCTGTGACTATCATAAATAAATAAAAAAAAAGTTAAAAAAAAAAAAGAGGGATCCCTGGGTGGCGCAGCGGTTTGGCGCCTGCCTTTGACCCAGGGCGGGATCCTGGAGACCCGGGATCGAATCCCACGTCGGGCTCCCGGTGCATGGAGCCTGCTTCTCCATCTGCCTGTGTCTCTGCGCCTCTCTCTCTCTGTATGACTACCGTAAATTAAAAAATAAATAAATAAATAAAGGCAAAAAAAAAAAAAAAAAGAATCACTCTGATGGCATGTGCTGTGGCTACAGTGTGATGAGCACTTCACCTCTGTGGTTCTCATTAAACTCATCCCCCCAGGCCAACCATGAAAAAACACCAAACAAATCCCAGTTAGGGGGCATCTTATAAAATACCTGACCAGTCCTCCTCAAAGCTGTCAAGGTCATTGAAAACAAGAAAGTCCAAGAAACTGTCTCAGCCCAGAAGAGCCTAAGGAGATGTAACAGTTAGACATCAGGTGAGATTTGGAGACAAGAGAAGGATATTAGGTAAAATTGAGGAAATCTGAATAAACTATAGCCTTTTATTAATAGTAATCAGTAATTGCTCATTAGTTGTGATAAATTTACCAAAGTAATAAGATGTCACTAATAGGGGAAATTAGGTGTGTGGGGTATAGGGGAACTGTTACCTTTGCCAATTTTTATATAAATCCAAAACTGTTCATAAACCAACAATGAGAAACTAGCATCTGGGGAACTTTTCAAGCTAGCTGCTGGGCTATCAGCTGGTGGGGATGGAGGGAGGGCACAGAGACCGTATCACCCCCACGCCCAGTGAGTACAACTATGGCTCAGCACATCCTCTATGCTATGGATCCCAGGGGATGGCCCCAACATCTGGGGATGCGGATGAAGGCACAGCTTTCTTAGGGTTGTGTCAGGGGCATGGGCACCTTCAATGTGGACACATTCTGTGAAAATGCCTTCCTGGGAAAGGATCCAGACCTTAGGTCCCAGCCTCATGTGGCTCTGATCTATGGCCTCACCCTCCCTCCAACTCCTGCTCCAAGTTCCCCAGGAGGCAACAGCCGGTACAGGCTCAAGGCAGGCAGGAGGTGCTCTGCAAAGACTCTGCAGGCTCAGACCTTTCTTCCCTCAGTAGTCTGGCTCCAGGAGCTGCTGCAGGAACTCAGCGTAGACCATTAAGGGGTCTTGGTGTGGTGGATGCAGACAGAAAAAAAGTCACCAAACAGAGCCATTGTAGACCTATAAGACCGTGTGACTGCTGGTGACAGAGTAACCAAAACAAGTCATGGGGAGCATGCTGGCAGAGGGCTGAGACATCTCCACTATGAACTTGTGACTGGATTCCAATGTGACTGGAAAAGGGGTCTTTGCAGATGTAATTGAGGTAGCGATCTCAACATGAGAGCATCCCAGATCATCCCTCCATCCAACATGATCTGATAAGACAGAAAAGGAGACACAGGGGCACCTGGGTGGCTCAGTGGTTGAGCATCTGCCTTTGGCTCAGGTCATGATCCCAGGGTCCTGAGATTAAGTCCCGGATCAGGCTCGCTGCAGGGAGCCTGCTTCTCCCTCTGCCTGTGCCTCTCCCTCTCTCTGCATCTCTCATGAATACATAAATAAAATCTTAAAAAAAAAAAGAAAGCAAGCAAGCAAGAAAGAAAAGGAGACACAGACAGGAAGGCCATGTGGCTAGAGGCAGAGACTAGGGTGATGTGGCCATATGCCAGGGGGCACCTGGAGTCCCTAGAAGCTGGTAGAGACAAGATCCTGCCCTGGAGCCTTCAGAGATTGCACAGCCACAGACACCTTAGTTTTGAACTTTTAACTTCCAAATTATGAGAATTGTGTTGTCTCAAGCCACCAGTCTATGGTGACTTGTTATGGTAGCCACAGGACACTAAGACTGTGAGCCCTTTTATTATTTTTTATTTTTTTATTTTTTAAAGATTTTATTTATTTATTCATGAGAGACACAGAGAGAAAGGGAGAGAGAGAAAGAGAGAGAGAGAGAGAGTGAGAGAGAGGCAGAGACACAGGCAGAGGGAGAAGCAGGCTCCATGAAGGAAGCCTGATGTGGGACTCGATCCTGGGACCCCAGGATTATGCCCTGGGCCGAAGGCATGCACCAAACCACTGAGCCACCCAGATGTCCCTTTAAAAGGAAGAGAATGGGGGCACCCCCGGGTCCACCCAACCCAGGAGACTGGGCAGTCTCAGGCTGCCAGAGGCTTACCAGGATTCAGTGCCTCTTGGCAGCTTCCCAAAGATCACAGGGTGGAGAGGAGATCCTTGCCCTGGGGGAGTAAGGGGAAAGATCTCAAAAATTTGTCCCTCAGGCCAAAGGCTAATTTCTCTAAGAAATAAAGAGCCTTTTGCTCTTTCAAATTAGCAAGCAAGGGTAGCCTGGGTGGCTCAGCAGTTTAGAGCCTGCCTTTGGCCCAGGGTGTGATCCTAGAGACAGGGGATCAAGTCCCACATCAGGCTCCCTGCATGGAACCTGCTTCTCCCTCTGCCTTTGTCTGTGCCTCTTTCTCTGTGTGTCTCTCATGAATAAATAAAATCTTAAAAAAAATCAAATCAGTAAACAAAACAAAAAAACAACCCAAGACGGGATCCCTGGGTGGCGCAGCGGTTTGGCGCCTGCCTTTGGCCCAGGGCGCGATCCTGGAGACCCGGGATCGAATCCCACATCGGGCTCCCGGTGCATGGAGCCTGCTTCTCCCTCTGCCTGTGTCTCTGCCTCTCTCTCTCTCTCTGTGACTATCCTAAGTAAATAAAAATTATAAAAAAAAAAAAAAAAAAAAAACAACCCAAGACAAACAAACAAACAAATAAAGGCAAAGAAACGGCCAGGTCATCAGGAAACAAATAACTTTAAATATGAAAAAAAAAGAAAAAGAATGATGCTCGACTGTGTTCCTAACAGAGAAAGGCAGGTCCAATGCTCAGTGAAGGGGGGCTGTGCGCAAGTACTATGACAGTGAGATGGGGGGTGGGCAAAGAGGGAGGCTTGGGGGTGGCACCTGTCTGCAGGTGATCTGGCAAACGCCTTGGAATGTGTGCTCCCCCGATGGCATGAGGACTTGTGGGCCAGTAAGGCCACTGCCAGCTGCTGGTCCCAGCAAAGGCCCGGAAAGGAAGCTACTTAGAGAGAGGGGGACAAGAGGGCACGCATGACTCACAGCCCCACGGGAGAAAGCCACTCGGCCTGTCCCTAATGAGCACACCCCATCTTGACTAAGTGATCAAAGTCAACACCACCAATGACAGGGTCTATAGATAGCTCACCTCCCAGACATGACATCCCAGGAAGGACATGTTGTCATTTCAGCAGGATTCCTACCAAAGACGCACAGTCTCAAGCTAATCATGAGGAAGCAGTGGACAGACAGGACACTGAGGGACACTGCAACAACTGCCCGAGTGGTTCTCAGCACAAGTGTGAAGGTTGTGGATGAGGAGGAAAAGCCCGAGGAACTGTCACTGATCTGGGGAGACTAGGCAGATAGGATGCTTGAGCGCCACATGGAAGCCAAAACGAGAACAGTAGGGGAAGCGCTGGGGAGGCCTGAGGCCTGGCTGGAGGTGAGCTCCACGTGGCAGCCGTACATATTTACTGGCCCACATGACTGTATCCAGTATGGTTCTAACACGGGGGGGCGGCTGCACCGAGCATCTGCTGGAACTCTTAGTATTTCTGCCACTTTTCTGTAAGCCTCAAGTTATTTCAAAACAAAAAGCTAAAGAAAAGAATGTCTATGAAAACCACAAGCTTCTGGATATGCCAGAGGTTTTAGAGAAACACATTTCAGATGTCTGCAGCTGTGGAGGGGCCAGCAGGCTGATCTGGCTCCTCCTTGTCCAATGGGGGCTTCCAAGTCAGGGGCTTAGTGTTTTGGGCTGGGGAATGGCACTGGCAGCTACAGGGGGCCAGTGCAAGGGCTTGGGCCTCCTGGTTTGTGGGGAGACCAGCGCCCTCTTGGCAGACAGAGCCTGAACCTGGTATCTCTTTGGAGCAGGGTGTTGGAGGTCAGCAGCTGTAGGGTCTCAGGCCGAGGCCTTCACCCAGGGCCCATCAATGGCTCCACACATGGGCTGGGAATGGAATGAAGGCAGACACTAAACACCATGACACTATGGCAGTTTTATTAAATGCTTTTACCCCTGCGTTCTTTAATCCAGCCAGCCTTCACTACCGACGTGGGTGTTGCTTTACCGATGGGAAGTCCCCCACTGGAGACCACTATGGGGATAACCACTGCCACTACCCATTAGGGGTGTCACGGTCGATGTTTTAGCTCTCTGCTTTGCTGATGAGACACAGCAAAACTTGGTCAGACCAAGGGCAGAGGGAACTCCAACCTTGACTCAGGATTCCAAAGTCATGGCCATGGCCCCCAGACCAGCCT